TGTAGCTTTTTAGTGAGTGCTAATTTACACAAATTTTTATTCTTTGCTTTTTTTTTTCTTCTAGGGAGTATGTTCCCATAGCCATGCTAATTTGAACCTTTTTTAAATTGTAAGAGAATGTCCTCAATGAATAAAAAAAGTTTTTCCTCGTTATGTGTTTTCTCAGTCTTAGGACTGACCAACAATTATTTCTATCAAAAAAAAATGCTATGGTGAATGTCTTACATGTATAAAAAATAAAGTAGAAGTCCTTGGTTTCAAGAGTACAATAAGCTTATGTGAAGATAGATGATGATGATGATGATGATGATTATTATTATAGCTTTGCCTGTAATACAGGGGATGGGAAAATACTCAAAATGAGTTTTCTTTCATTAAAAAAGTTAATACTTTTGTGTTAATGGTTCTTAAGAAGTACTAACCTGATTAAAGATTTGAAAACTCTTAAAGATATTTTATATCTGCATAATTTTCCTCTTTGTCACAACAGTAAACAATTAAGCTACCATAGATCACACCCAGGAATACTGTTTAATGCAATTTAAAAGAAAGATGTATTCAAAATTCACAGGATGCATAGTAGACAGATGTATGTGAGCACTTGTTCTTCATGCAGCTATAAGAAAATGCCCACCCAGTGGTAACTCACTGCTTTTTTAGAAACAACTGGTATTTCTGCCTGGCCTTTGGTTGAGCATAGTATTTTTTCTTTTTGTTCTCTGATGCTGACAGTAAGTAAATAGACCACAGTATGTAAAATGATTACCTGATAGGTGAAGAACCTGGAGCCTCAGAGAGGTGAACTGATCTGGTTAGGACACACAAGCCGTAGTACCAAGGGTGTCGCTAACACCCAGGCCTCTCCAACAGGGCTCTTCTTTTGCTATACTACCTGACTGGAGAGTGGCTTGCAGCAAAGGCCACCTGACCAGTGTATCCTGTTCTCATTGTGTTTTTTCACAGATGAATGTTAAACTTATTACCTTATCACATTGTTACAGAAACTGGGATCTCTCTAATTTATGATATCCTTACCTCATTTTTTTAAGTCTATTATTGCTTAAAAAAAAAAAAAACCCAAAACCCACATGGCTTGATTTAAGCCAATATGATATGTGAAAATATGATTTCATAAAAACAGCAAGACTATTCACAATGCAAAAATTAATCTTCCCTTGACCAAAGAGTTTGCCAGGTGTTCTTTTAAATAACAAGCTCTCCTATTGTCTTAGAGTTAAATAATTAGATGTTCAAAGGCACATATGGATAAAATGTGTTATATATATTAGACTCAACCAAAGGTGAAGGAAAATCCTCAAGTTCGTTTTCATTTTAGTTCTTGTTTTAAACATAAAATTTAGTTGACAACCACTTAAACATCCATTTTTATATTCATGTAAAATTATTACACCTTTGTAATTCAAAGTAGAATATTCAAAAAATCTGGAAGATAATAAGAATAAAATCGAAAGGTTTGACAAAACTTTAGAACAGCTCAAAATTATGAACTCACAGAGTTCCATAAGACATTATCCAAGCAATGTTTCGTCAAGGCTGTTTGCTTGATCAAATGAACACAGAAACTTGGAGAATAAAAAAAATTAAAAAAATATAATTAAGAATACACAGGATACTGAGAGGGTGAGAAACTGAAGAGTGTCAAAAGTTAAAAAAATTTTTTTTAGTTATATTACTTTTCCTCTTCAAAGAAGACTGGAGTTAAAGTTAATAAATAGCTCTGGTATCTTAATATCAAATATTTCAGGATTTAAGCTTTCATTCTCTTCCATCAAAAGACATCTCTATACTATTATTTTTGTGGAAACTGACAGAATGGATCTGTCTATGGAGATAAAGATATATATTTAAGAGGTACAAAATATATTGTGCAATTTACAGATGCACTAAACAGTAGCAAGGACATGAAATGCTTCAGCAGCCATTACAGTGTACAAAGACAAATACACACATGTATTTACAGCACAGATTAAGGCAAGATAAAAAATGGGCAACTCTCACTTCCAAGTAACTGAAACTTAAAGCTTTAAACCTTATGATGAATTTCTGTAGCTTAAGTTACTCAACATGCAGGAGCATCCTTAGTTATGAAAATAATATGACAAGCAGAAGCATTAGAATTGTACTATAAAAGGTAGTTAAGGTGTAAAATGTATAATAAGATACAGATCTCTGTCCTGTTATGCTGAATTTTCATCTGAATTTTCTTCTCAAAGAAGAAATGGATGTATATTTTTAAGTTTTAATATACATATTAATAAAGGTCAAATTAGAGACAGAGCTGTGCTGACAAAAATGCCCCACTCTTAATTCATGCCTCTGCCCATCTTTTGAATATTGTTTCATTGACCTTTAGCATGCAGAAGAGTTAACAAGGTTCTACTCCTCCTACTCTACCTAAGTTTGCTCAGCTGATTCCTTGCCCTCGACAATGGCTGCAGTGCGATGAATTCGTCACTTAAAGCAACTGTGTTGGAGTACATCTATAAGTGGACAGAAAAGGGATGGTACATACAACAAGTCAGTGAGCTGCATTCATCACCTAAGAGACAGACACAGGACAAACTCTGTAAAGACATCTGTTCCTCCAAGAATAGGAAATATCATACATGGTACACATACATGACTGGCATTTGTAGGGCTGTTGGCTTTGCTATCAAAATAATTTATTCTTCACTCTTAATACCACATGGTTATTCTGGAGAAAAACAAAGCTCAAAATAAATGCTGACAACTCTTTTTTGATGTTTTTTCTTGCTACTTTTGGTAAACAATGAAGTACCTGATAACTTTCTAACCATTTCTTCATCATCTGAAATCAGTGGTAATAGTATAAATCTGAAATAATAAAGACTACTGCCTGTAGCAAAGGAAGAAGGTCACACATAGGATGTGACTAGGCCATATACTGTTTTAGGAAAAAAGAAAAAAACCCCAAAAAACCCTTCTAGCAGGCTAGAAGATCTTTGAGTGGAAGTAGAGATTTCCTCCTTGGATTAGACCACAACAGGACATCTGGGTCAAGTTATTTAAAAGTGAGTTTAGTGGGACAAAAGGGAGATTAGCTTTCACACCCAGATAAAAGGATTAGTTTACCACACGTTTCATTTTTAATCAATTTTAACCTATGGTAAAAGAACCAAAATATATATAAAATACTTTTTAACTTTTTCTTGTTTAAGGGTCCACTCTAAGGTAACAAATATTTCCTATGTAATCCTTTAAACAGAAGCTATAGAAAAGGTAGCAAGAACTAATAATCACTTTTTCTTATCATTAACAAGGCTCTATAAATACACATAAGTTTGCAAATGCTCTAATGTAGATTTCTAAAGATAAATGTAAATAAATCTGATTATTTACTTTTATAAAGAATTAAGTTTTAAGCGTGATGTTGTTAATATATTTTGGTGCAATATAACTTTATATAGGCCAAGAGGGGGAGAAAAGTGTGTTATCCCTAAAGATCTAGAAAAAGTATAAGAGACAATGTATTAAAAATAGTACTCTCTTATTGTAAATATTTATGTCTAAAGATTAGAAAAAAGTCAAAACTTTCTGATATATATTTAAGCAATATACTGCAAAGTAGAAAAGTTAGTAGCATACTGATATAAATATATGGATAGGCAGACAGAGTAATCAATTATGCAAATTTCTCCAGCCCCATTTGGAGATCAGTATCATAGAGCAACATCCTCACTGTCCTTATAGTTATGATGCTTCTACTGAGGAGTCACTACGTACAGGCCCAGGGTTGGGTGCTTTATATTCATTATTTCAACGATCATGTATGGTAGTAATTACTATTCTGATTTTACAGAAAAGGAAACTGAGGCCGAGGGATGTGACCTGATTAGGGACATACATTTTACAAATTGTTAAAATAGTACTTGAATTAAGATTTTCAGGCTTCAAGAGACGTACGCTGCTTCAGTGGTGTTAAAATGTATATTGGCTAGTATTGAGTTACCAAGGCAAATAACTGCTAAAGACATGCTGACATGATCAATTGAGATTAAAGCTAATACATCGTTTAGGAAGCCTAACTCAGATCATTAAGTACTTAGAGAACAGTTATTCTATTTTTGAATATGCAACTAAATTTTCAAAATTTAAAGAAAATTTGCTTGGCCTGTAGCAAACATGCAGAAAAAAATCTCAACCTAGTACAAGTCAAAAAATCTCAACCACGTACAAGTCAAATACACAAAATGGCACATTCAACTAAATAGTTACTGTTTCTTGAGCATCTACTTTGTTACTGAACATTAATTCATTTAATCCTCAATACAAAAGTAATACAATAGATATTTCTATCATAATTACTATTCATGAGGAAACTGAGACTTAAAGTTACAGAGCTACCAAGTGTTAGAACTGGGTTTTGAACTGAGAATTATCAGGCCCTAAAGCCTGTGTTCTTACACACTATATAACATACTGTTAATATTTGCTGTAGCTTAGTATTTATTGATAAATGTTTAGTAAGAAAATATATTTTACAAAAATCCATTCTGTAAAAATTATTTAGGTTAAAGAACTTATTTCATACTCTTGTTGAAAACAATGTAACCTGAAAAAGTATTACGAGAATTCTAATGTTTCTAAAGACATGGATATATATCCCCATTATATACCTCTGGATAGAATGTTGTGATAATGTTACTTAAAACATATTTACTATTATTATCTGGACATGACTTGGTAGTCTTTTTTTTTCTTTTACTTGATAGTCTTGTATTTAAAAGTTTGAAGTTCCACTAATAACAATATAATCAAAAATTTTTTTAATTTGTCAGGAGTCAAAACAGAAATAAACAACTTAAATATATCATATTTAACAATATTTGTTTTACAAAATACTTGATACAAGAATGGATAATTTCCTATTTTGTGATACAAGCAAATTATAATGACAGCTGTTCATTGTTACAGAACAATTCTAATTTAAAAAGGTATTGTATATAAAGAGTGGTTACCTGTGCCTTTTCAGTATTTGTAGGATGGAGCTGTCGGTCAAATACTTTCTTCACAATATCAAGAAATAGACACATAACAACCATGAGTATTATGGCAAACCAAGCAGAACCACTTGATAGGAGCTGAATAAATACAAAGTACATATTCTGGGAGCCCAAAAATGGCCTGCAAAGAAAGAAGGTAGAACATAGTAGATATTCAGTAATTGTTAATTTTTCTTCTCCATATCAGTAAGATCAGCTGAAAGAAGTAAATTTATTATCAGACAGGGTCTCAAAATTATTCTGAGCGGAATTTGTTCATAATATAATCTATCACAATAAACAGCTGAATCAATATAATTAAAATATAGTCACTCACCAGAGAATCCCTCCATAAAACAAAGAAAATATAAAATAGAATATAATAGATCCCCAGGTAACAAGATGGTTGATCCAGGTCCAAAAATGAGTTTCCAAAGCCATCTAAAAAAAAATTTTTTTAAATCCTTAATACAAGGTAATATTTACTTATATTAAACCTCTCAGATAAAATTCAAGAATAAAATGTCGTAATTGTAAGTGCCTAAAGTTCCTATGGCAAAATCCCTCAGAAGGTGAATATTAATGAAAGAGTCCAGTATGAAATTGAATAATTTCAAGTTTATAATGCTTTTCTCCTATGAGGAAGCAGCACTGAAATTTTCATGAGTATTTTATTCTCTACTACATGGACTACAACAACCCATATTGTTTAGCATTATATACAGAGAAGTAGAATTTCAGAGATGAATATTGTGGGGTTAACCTTTATTTGACCATAAAAATCAGCTGAGGCTTTCCAAAATAATGAACTTAAAGTTGTATTTTTTTATAAAAATTAAAATTAATTATTAAAATAGCAATCAGTGAAATTATTCATGAAAAAAGGGAAAAATATCTACCTACAGTTAAAGAAACAAAGAAAGTTAACTATGCATTACACAGATGCAAAATGTGTCGTCCATGTTTCTAATTTCTGCACCATACCTTTACTGTGACTGTAATAACCATGACTGTGAAAACCAAGGTGCCAAATGTCCAGTTTCCAAACATCTAAACAGAAAAAAAAACAAACCAAATTCATTACTGTATTATGTGTTAACATGATGCTACATCAGATGGTAAGGCAAAAAGTACTAAAAATCACTTGCATTATTTAAGCCAGTTATATTTGAAATCTGTGACATTAGTAAAGTTAAAGCAGTATGAAAAAATTCATAAAGCATATTATTATGCTTATTTTATCATGTAAAATGATCCTTGGATAACATTATGAGATTAGAAGCCCAAAAAGATGGCTTTGAGACTGTGTGACACAGAATGTTTTTAGTTTGAATGATATAGTTGTTAGTGACTGCTTTATTCCTGTCATACAATAAAAATAACTCTTCAATCACAATTATTTTCTGAAAGCATTCCAACCAGAAGTTACGACAGATCACTTGACACTGTATTTCTGGACACACTGTAGGCAGAGCAGGAGAAAAGAAATTTACATATAAAACCAATACCTGAAAGGAAAGATAATGGTCAATGGAATTATTCCTCAAAGGATTCTATGTAAAAATGAAGTTAATGCCAGTCAAAGTATTTTTCTGGGATTTATAGCCAAAACTTAATAAGGTTTATTAAAAATGCTGAATTCCCAAAGAATGTCAGGATTTATTTTCCACTTGTAAATAAGAACAGAACCAGAAGTTTATGTTAATATTAAGTTTACCAAGTAGTAAGTTTTTACCACTGGTTTAAAAAATTATTTAAAAGGCTCTGTTTCTTTTTATTACTGATGTTTAACAATTAGCATTTACTTGAAAAATTACTTAACCTCTCTGTATCTTTTTTCACTTGTAAAATGGAGAAGAACTTTACAGGTTTCCTTAAGAATTGGGATATGTAAAAATGATAGGGTGCCTAGTATATAATAAGCAATCAATAAATAGTAGTTACTATCATCAACAATGAAACATCAATGAATAATCCTTCATTTGAGGGTCTATTGGGAGTTGATTTTTCAAGAGTAAAGGAATGGAAAAGTCATATTAAACTTCTCATTTTCCTGCTTTTATCATCTCTAGAAATGACCTGGAAATACTAAAAATCAAATCGGTTTCACTCGACTCTGCTCTTGGAGGAATGCCTGCTACCTCTTTCAGGGCTTTGGAGAGAGATATTTGATACAGCCAAGGAACCTATGCCTGGAAGTGGTAACAACCACACATGTCTATCCCTCAGTATTCTGGTTTTAGTGGGCCTAGATTTTGGGCTAGTGGTATCTTCCTTAGAAACAGAGAATTTAGGGCTCCCTCTTGCATTCAAGGCCCCAGAGAGGGCTGTAGAAACACATTCACATGGTCTTTTTTGTTGTTTTATAAAATTAGCAAAAGTAATATATTTCAAACCAATCAGTTAAGACTCCTGTCTCTTTCCATTCTGACTTCCACTTGAGCCAGCTGGTGATAAAGTGAAGGGCAGAGGGCATTTTGAGATCAGGTCTACAGAGAAGTTGAGCTGGGCACATTACATTGGCTTTGGTTAAGTGGGATGGATGGAACCATTTATGTCACTCAGTTACATTCATGTACACTTATGTTTGTATTTATAGTTCTATTTTTTTCCCTTAAAGAGGGCCTGCCAAAATGTGTAATGTTTAGACTTTCCTAAACCTGGGTCTACCCCTGTTCAGAAGAGAAAGATGCTCAAAACCCTTTATCACAATCTGCTTTTTCTCTAGATCACTTCTTCCAGCTGAATTTGTTACCTAATTATTTAATAAAGCCAAATTTATATTCCAATTTAAAAAGGATCATTTGTTATTTATTTGTATACTCAAACAGTAATTGAGCATCTTTTTAAAAAAATTTTTATTGTTATGTTAATCACCATACATTACATCATTAGTTTTTGATGTAGTGTTCCATGATTCATTGTTTGCATATAACACCCAGTGCCCCATGCAGTACGTGCCCTCTTTAATACCCATCACCAGGCTAACCCATCCCCCCGCCCCCCTCCCCTCTGGAACCCTGTTTGTTTCTCAGAGTCCATAGTCTCTCATGGTTCGTCTCCCCCTCCGATTTTCCCCCTGCAATTTTTCCCTTCCTAATTGAGCATCTTTTATAAGCCAAGAACCATTCCAGGCCTTGGGAATAAAGCAGTGCTAAGAAAAAGTTCCTGACCTCATGAAGCTTACATAGTGGAGGAGACATAGTAATAAACAAACGAAAAATATACTTTTAGGTAGAGATTAGTGCTATGAAGAAAAGTAAACGTAGGGGAGGTGGGTGTCAAGAAGTGACGGAAGGTGAGGGAGATAACATTTTACTGGAGTGGGCAGAGAGGCCTACTCAACCCAGTAATGTTTCAGCAGACCTAAATGAATAAGGGAGTGAGTCACATGCCCATGGGAGAGAAAAGCATCCAAGTAGAAAAACAGCAGGTGAAGAGGTCCTAAGTCAGGAACAAACTGATCTCGTCAGGGAACAACACAACTAGTACAGCTAGAGTAGAGTGAACAAAAGGAACGGTGGTAGGAAATACAGTCCAATAGGCAGATGGAGTGAGGATGGATGAGATTTTTTTTTATACTGTAATTAGTCACTGGATGATTTTGTGCAGGTCATTAGATATACGATCAAATTTTCATTCTCAAGAGACCGCCTGGGCCACTGTGTGGAGAGGAGACAGGAGAAAGGGGAGTAATAAAAGCAGGAGCAGGCAGAGGCAGTACTACAGTGCGGGAAAGAGATGGTGAGATCTGGACTGTGTGGAGAGAAGTGGAAAGAGTCAAGATATAGGTGACACTAGAACCAATACGCCTGTGTATCAGCTGTGAGAGAAGGGAAATAAAAAATGATTCCTGGACTTGCCTGAGCAGTTGGGTAAAAAGTGGGTTCTACTTGTTAATATAGGGAAAACTGGAAGGGAAATGGGTTTGCAGAAGCTATAAAATTCTATTTAGCTGCATAAAGTCTGAGATTCCTATGTGATTTGTTAAGTGGAGAAGGTAGTTATTTGAATCTGAGGAGAGACTGGCAGAGATAGAAATTTAGGAGTTCTCAGCATATAAGCAGTATTTAAATGATGGGAAAAATGAGTTTACCCCATATATGGATAAAGAAGAAAAAATGTCGTAGCACTGAGCCCTGGGCCACTGCTCCATCTAGAATAGTGGTTCTTCAGTGGGGGTGATTTCTCCTCCCAAGGGACATTTGGCTGGGTCTGGAGACATTTTTGATTGTCATAACCGGGGAGGGCATGCGTGTACACTACTGGTATCTAGTGGGTAGAGGCTAAGCATGCTGCTTAACATCCTACAATTCACAGGATGAACCCCAACAATAAAAAATTATTTGGCTGAAAATATCATTAGTACAGAGGGTGGGAAACTCTGATTCTGGGGGTGGGAAGAGAAGACTGAAAAGGAATAGTCAGAAAGCCAAAGTAACAGAACCTGAGAGAAGATAATGTGGCAGGTAGGAAGGCTTTGTAAATTGTGCCCGGTGGTTGAGTTCATAAGGGTTGAGACATGCTCTTGGATTTAACAGTGTGCAGTTGGCTGGTGACCAAAAAGAACATGGTTTTGATGGAGTACTGGGAGTGAAAGCCCCATAGGAGTATGTTCAAGGGAGAAGAGAAGGCAGAGAGTAGAAATAGCAAAAAATGATAACTTCTTCAAATTTTGCTCTAAAGATACACAAAAAAATACAGCGAAAGCTGTGCAGCAAAGCGGTAGGTCAAGCAACCATGGTTTTTATTAGAAGATAGGAGATACTGGAACAGAATGTGACTGGTTGGATCTAATAGAGGACAACAGATTAATGATGAAGAAAAGAGAAAAGATAATGGCAGAAGTAAAGTCCTAGGTTAGGCAAGAAGGAGTTTAAGAATAAACAAAAGATGAAAACTTTTTCTGTATTAGGTTCAACTGAACTATACGGTGATCTGTAAGTGAATTACCTTCAATCAGTTGTTCAGTTCTCTAGTACAAACTTTCTTCATTATAGATTTTAAAAATTTGACCAATTGCTGGGTGATACCATAAGAAGCAAGGTATATTTTTCTGTTCTCCTCTAATGTATACTTCATTTTATTTTCTATCAGTTGCTGGGAATATTACTAGTTCTTTAAATATCTGTCTCATGAATAAGTGAACATACAGGGAAATTCTATAATGAACTAGATAATCAAAGCTATATTAATCATATAACCTTTTATTCAAAGAAATCTGTATTTACTTATAGGAATTAAATTGCATGTGTTCTTGAATGACCTGGCTGGTAATAACAGTGGTTAAATCATTTATACGGAAATAAAAGATACTGTATTCTCTGGAGAATACAGATACAAAAATGGTATATTTCTAGTCTTAACACAGAGGTCTTACCATTTGATGGTTAGGTTTCAACAGCTGATGACATGTACAGCACAAAAAAGAAATTAATTAAGGACACAAAATAAGGGGAAAATCATTATAATTTCAAGAAAAAATAGTATAAAAGATTTTTCTCTTTCTCTCAAAATTACAACCTGAAATTTCATCTGCTCATTCTACCTTGTATTGCTAATTAATCTGGCAAATGGTCCACACCTAGAAGGGCTGATGAAGGGGTGAATTATTTTTTCGTCCTTAATCCTTTCTATCTCATTAAATATTTAATGTGGTGGAATAGCATACAACATATATTTTAGAAGAGTACTAAGGCTCTAACAATTCCAACATCTCCACTGGAGAAGTCTAATTGGAATTAGAATACTCTAATAGCTTTTCTCCCAATCCTGTATTTTTGGAATTTCAATTATTTTAGTTTTGGGTATAACTGGGTATAATTTCATAAAGTGCAAAAATCATTTATGGTAGACATTTTCCTTTGAGTTCCTGTACACTTCAGTAGAACAAAAACGAAATGACCAAGCAAATTAAAAAAACCCTTATTTGGGCCAGATATCATTTTAAATAGTAGTTACCTAAGTTTGTAATTTTCACATCAGACCACTGAGAATGAGTGGAGTAGATATTAGCATTTGAGTTCCTGAGGTAACAGGAACTGTTTTTC